GGTAAACCATCACCACCCAGTCTCTTCTCATCCTCTTTTGAACCTCTCTATTGAAAAAAGGTTCTCTTCAAAGTCAACATCCTAGGAAAAAAGCAGAATAAAAATTAAATGTCAAGTGGTTGAGAAGGGATTGGGTGGTGATAAATCACTATAAAATATTATCTTGAAGTCCTTTGTGAATGAAAAGATTGGTAGCTTGAGGGTGGTAGAAATAGTTATTTGAAAAAAGAATGACAAACACAGGTGGGCCCAAAGATGACTTTCTTGTGAAGAATTCAGTCTACTCACCCTATTCCTAAAGTGTGAAAGTTAGGATTCCAAGTAATGTGGATTTAGTACTCTAGGCTATTCGTTTTCAAAGTATGTACTACAAACATCAGACTCCATTTTTGTTTTCTAAAATACATTTATTTAACTATCTTGATCGTGATAAAAAAATATTTCAGGAGCTTCCTTATATGCCAGGCACTGTGTTAAATACTGTATTTGTATTATCTCATTTAATCCCAGCAACTTTATGAGGAAAGTGTATTATTAAGACCATCCTAAACAGGAGAAAACAGGCACATAGAAAAGTAAAATAACTGGCCTAAGATTTTTAAAATACAGAAAGTCCCTGACTTAATAATGGATCAACTCAATGGCTGTATCGAAGCAAAACGCATTCAGTAGAAACTTTGGATTTGGAATGTTGATCTTTTCTGGGGCTAGCAATATGCAGTAGTGAGGCCAGCAGTGATGCTGGGCAGCGGCAGCGACCTGGCACTCCCAGCCAGCCATGCGGTCGTGAGGGTAAACAATCTACATTTACATCCATTCTGTACCCTACAACTATTCTGTTTTTCACTATCTGCACAGTATTCAACCAATTACATGAGATAGCCACATTTTATTATAAAACAGGCTTGGTGTTAGATGCCTTTGCCCAACTGTAGGCTAAGGGAGGTGTTCTAAGCATGTTTAAGGTAGGCTACACTAAACTATGATGTTTGGTAGGTTAGGTGTATTAAGTGCATTTTCAACTTACTGATATTTTCAATTTATGATGGGGTAATCAGAGGTGTAACCCCATCCTAAGTTGACCAAAATCTGACCAAAAATCTGAAGTAAGTGGCAGAGCCCAACTTGTTAATATGTTCTACTGTCTTTCAACAATGTATACAAGCAATTGTTTTATACATCTCATTGGAGACCACCAAATCATTAACTTAAACTGCTTGGTTCATTCACTTTTTTACAACCCTCAGGAATAACACTTACCCTGTCATGCCTTGGAATATGTTTCAAGTTCCCATAAATGTGTCATGGATTATGAAGGTTGTAGCACTGCTCAGGTCTTTCAATTAATTCATGCCTGTACATGTTTACTCGAGGAAAATTGTACAAGCAGGTACCTACAGCACTTCAACCCGTGGGCTGTGCTCAATTAGATAGCATGCAAGGTTCAGGCCCATCTGCCCAGCAAAAGCAGAACAGTCAGTTGCACAATAACATGTGTAACGTGTCTCATCATGACAATCCTACATTTTACATGGCTTTAGTGCTTACTCTACGTTTTGGCTGCTTATCTCATTTTCATATTTAAGATAAAGATATATGAATAGTGATTAACCTTGGAAACCAAAATTTTCTCCTAATTCCCTTCCAGGACTCTGGATCAATGTGGTTGAAAAATATCCAGAGACTGTAAGACAAGCTGTTAATAAACATCTATCATTTGCAATTATTTATCTGTGTAAATCAGGATTTTTCTGGATACTTTGCAACCCAAAACAATAGACAGAAATAAACTGCATGGGTTGATGCAAGGCTATGACTACCTTTTGTGAAATTTCGGTATACATAAAAACAGCCTCATTTTCCTGACTGATTGCTCTTTATATAGTGGAGTTCCTCTACAATAAACAAAAATGTTAAAGCAACTGCTCTAAATCAGTTAGTTCTGTTACTTGAAACAAATGGGTCTTCATGTTCCCAGGACTGTGATAGGGGAGAGTATGGATGTTCATCCTAAATTCAAAAGGCAAACAATTCAAGCACTCCTGTGAGAATGGCTAAAGAGAGGTTTCATAAACAAAGACAACAGCAATGGCTTTTCCACATTTGGTGGCCCTTGGGTAATTCAAGACAATACATACTGAGTTAATCAACATTTAAACCTCAGTCCTACCTCTTTGCCACTAAGATTCCAGATAAGTTGTTTCTGACCAGAGATTACAATGAACCCTAGCCTAGGCTAACTCTCAGGAATGAGCAAAGCAAACAATACAAAACTTTGGGAGCAAATATTCAACAACACACGTGCATGAAATGCAAAGTGATTTTGTCCCCTGTGTTGAAAAGAAGTTTCTCGAGGCATTCATGGAAGAAATGTGATTCTATACTTCAAGTAACTCGGCTAGCTTTTTATGGCTAGTTAGCCTAGTGGTAAAATTTGCTGTAGTTATCATCTCAGTAGTAAAATTTTTAAGTCTCAAAATACCTTTCTGAGTGTCACTTAATTAAGTGCTCAATATTTAGGCCTTTATTTCTAGACAGTATCTTGAAATAAAACAGCCATGATTCTATTTAAACTGACAGCTGCATAAGCATCTATTTGTATGTTTTCTGCATCTTGCGGCTTTAACCTACTGTAATAACCAACTTTAATTGAGTGTGATTATTATCTGCTAGGTGGTTTACATATATTATCCTTAATCCTAGCAACGTAGGGGCACCTGGGCTCAGTCGGTAAAGCATCCAACTTCGGCTCAGGTCACCACCTCATGTTTCCTGGGTTCAAGCCCCACACCAGGCTCTGTGCTGACAGCTCAGACCCTGGAGCCTGCTTCAGATTCTGTGTCTCCTTTGCTCTCTGCCCCTCCCCAACTCGCACTCTGTCTCCCTCTCTCTCAAAAATCAATACACATTAAAAAAGTTTTTTAAATTACAAAAAAAAAGAAGAAAACAACCCCAGCAACATAAGTATCTCCATCTTACAGATGCAGAAACTGAGACTCAGTAAAGTTACAGAACCTGATCAAGGGTACAAAGCTATTGTGTGCTAAATCCAGAATTTGACACCCGTTCTTGACTATGATGCCTGTGCTTTTTGTAGTACACCATATTGTCTCTGAATAGCATATATGTAAGATGTATGTAGACTGCTTGGCACTTAGTGGGAGCTCAACAAAAATTAATTTTAGTGTCCCTTAAAACTATCACATAAATATAAGCTCACATCCTTAACAGAAAGTAGGATAAAAGTGATCTAAATAGGAACTGCCTTATTAAAGAGTACTCTTCAATTTCAAATCATTCATGCAAACGAATCTCATTTGGAAGAGACAAAGTTAAACTTTTGCATTTAGATAGCCAATTGAAACTTAAGGACTTTAAAATTTACCAAATCCTTATTCTTCATTTTTATTAGACTTTAAAACATAATTTCATTCTAATCAATGACTTAACAACCAGGAGAGATACACTTGCTCCTTTAATCAATATTAAAATCTAAGAATCGCAGCATTTTAGAGCTGGAAGGGATCTTAAGAGTTCATCTCCTTCGCTTTTGTCTCCGCACACTCTGCCAATTTGGCCTCCACCTCCTAACTCTATACTATCATTTGGCTAGTGAGTAACTTGTACAAGGTCACAAAGCTGCTAGGGACAAAGAAGGGACTAAAAGAACTCCAATCTCCTGAGTTCCAGTTCAGTGCTCTTTCCATTTTACCACCCAACCCATGCAAGTGCTCTCTAGGGAGGGCCAAAACCACCGCTTTAAGAAAAACACAAAACCTCTAGTACTGAAATAAGCAGATTCATCTCTCCAGTGACTCCTTAAAAGGCTAATCCTATCAGCTAGCCTTTACTGAAAAGGATGGTGTATTAAAACTCTTTACAGGCGTTAGTTCATTTCATCCTCAAGGCAAACCTGTGGGAGTAGTTTTTCTTAGTTCTTTCCCTTTTGATTGATGAGGGAACACAGACTCGAAAGACTTCAAATAAGTTGCCCAAGGTCACAGGACTAGTTAGCAATGGAGCCGGAATTTAACCAAGGTCTGACTTGGGGCCCAGCTCTCGAACAACTATGATATACTGCTATTTTGTGTCTCTTCCTTTTTCTCCATTTTTTTTTCTCTTTGTCCTTTGGGGCTTCGGATCATACATACACTGTCACTACCTAATCACAAATAGGGAGAAGGTTTCTGGAAGAATCACCCAACAGGGAAAAACTGTAACCCACACCATCTCTACAAATTGAAGACCCACCTGGACTATTTTTCCCAAAGTCTAGGCCTTTGCTATCCTCATCCACAAAGCTCTTTTTTTTTTTTTCAGTAACATTAATCACCTGTTTGGCCACTCAATAACCGAAATCCGATGTTTCAAAGGCAAACGAAAGCACTGATACCGACAGTTGCTTGGGACCCGAGACCCCGGGGCAGAGAAGAGCCCCCAAACTAGGCAAAGTTTCCACCCAAACTGCAATGAGGTTAACAGGGCACAGTAACACAATCTCGTGTACTTGATACTAGGAAACAGGGAGAGAAAAACTGGGAGAGAGGAGGGCAAAACCTGCCTCCGGCCTGAGGCTGTTAAACAGGAAAAAGAGTGAGGAAGGGATTTCCAGGCCGCCTGCACTCCAGTCATTTCAAAGCCAATGCCCACCACCAAAGCAGCCAACGCAAGGCACCCTTGTGGAACACCAGGAAAAGGTGACCCAAGGAGCCCAAACAGTCCTTCTCGACTTGCCAGCCTCCGCACTCCGTTGGTCTTACCCTTTTCCACCAGACAGGCACATTCTGAAGGATTTTTTTTCGCCCCACTCCCCACGCAGGGTGAGATCTCGGGAAGGAGTGGACCCTGCCTCACTTGGTAGGGACAGAAAGGGCACTCGTTTTCCCAGCGATGCAAGGGGATAGGGGAAAGACAGCACCGAGCAAAATAAGAGGAAAAAAAAAAAAAACAACTGGCCTCGGAGGGGGGTTGATGGGGCGCAATGTAGTAGCTGCACTCACCCGGGTGAGACATGGGGATGACCTCATTGCGGGTCCCCGGGAAGTTAAAGATGACGGCTCCAGACGCCCCTCTCTCGTAAGCCAGATGGATCTTGTCTGCGAAGGTGCAGCCCCCGCCGCGCTGGATGAGGGCCAACCAAGAGACCTGCACGGCGCTTCCCCAGTCCCCCGGGACCGTGGGCACCGTGAAATTCGTGTGCGGGTTACAGGCGTTGAGCGCCCCCGGCCCGTCGGGCGGCACCAGGACCCCGGCCACGGGTTCGAGCGGCGAATCCTGGCCGTACACGCCCTCCTCGCTCAGCTCCCACACCGTGCGGTTCACTCCGGTGTGCGGAACCCGCCAGGACACGTTGAGGTACGCGGTCCACACAGCCTCGGCCCCCCGGGAGCCGGGGGCTTGGGGACTCAGAGCAAGCAGGAAGCACCACGCCAGCAATCGGGAAAAGCCGCAGCCACCACGGCACAAGACCCCGGCCCCGGGCGGCGGCCCCATGACGCGCGCGCTCTGCGGTTCCCGAGGGGCCCCTGGCACGCGCCCTCCTGGCTCTCGGCGGGACCCGGCCGGGCCCAGGTGCGCGCCAGGTGGGAAGGGGGCGGAGAGGGGCCGGCACGCGCCGGAGCTAGGTGGGAGCCGCGAGGCACGTAGCGTCGGCGAAGGGGCTGCAGCAGATGCAGCTCTTCGCAGCTCCGGTCCTCGCCGCTACTGCTGCGGCCGCGTCGGGCTCTGGGGCTTTAGCTGGAAGCTCCGCCCAGAGGACTGGGGGTAGAGGTGGCTGGGAGGGAGGAAAGGACACTGCGGGATCCGCCTCTTAAAAGGGTAACAGGATGGGCAGGCTAGTTAGAGTAGGCTCTGAGGCTGTGTGGCCAGGTGTGTCGCGTCGCGTTCTAAAAAATGGACAGGCCAGGAACTATATACCATCTGCGACCGTAAAAGCTCTCCAGTAGGAGAGCCCGTTTGGGGTTGCAAGAATAGGTTTTTCACTCCAAACATTTGCCTAAAGGCCTTTTCTGGCTTAAGGTGCCAGAATGTGAAAGTACTTCTAGAAAGCGCGAATCAGAAGGGTCTGAGTTGTAGTCAAGGGAATTCGGGTGGGTGGGTGGTGTCCGGAGAGGGGGCAGGCAGGCTGTTTATTGATTCTCTAGAGGGGGAGGGGCAGGAAAAGCGCATTGTTACTTTTTTTTTTTTTTTTTT